CTCTCTCTCTCTCTCTCTCTCTCTCTCTCTCTCTCTCTCTCTCTCTCTTTTTGCTGGGATATATGTAAAGCATTAGGGAATGATTCTTGCTAATGATCTTACTTTATTTTTCATTTCAATACTCATCATGGAATTTTGTTTATGTTACATTAATTCAAACATTCTAATTCTTTAATCAGATTTTTACATTTTTAAGTGCATTTACTTTCTCTAAGAAAAGGATCAGCCCAGTTTTTACATTTTTTTGGTATCATCACATAATTGGATGGCTGCATTTGCATGGTTGTCTTTTACAATGCCATTATTGTTAAAACAGATTGGTTTTTTTAAAAAATTGTATTTGTCCCAGTTCACTTGAAGAACATCCGTGTCTTTCCTCTGAAGATTTTGAAAAATGGAGATTGATATTGCAAGAGGTTACAATTATTAGCATACTTTTTTTTTTGCAGTGCTTCGACATAACTTGTTCAATTTTTATGGTGAGCTCAATCATAGACACACAGGTTCTTCATACCCTCAGTGAAGATTCCGAAGTATATTTATTGCACTGTATTCTCTTCAACCCACTCTTCATTCTACTCAACAGCCAGTCGGCATTTTGTGTCCATTAAGCATGCTCAGTTTTAATCAGGCTGTTTTTAAAATCCTTTAGAGATTTTGCCCCATACCGTTTCTACACCTTTGGAAATTCTGGGGTCTGTGATGAATTAATACTTCCCCCTTGTACATGAGTGTTAATATTTGGGATATATATAGGATAGACACTTTAAGTATGATCTCATTACCAGTTTATAAAAGCAATTGCGATACAAGATGTAATATACTGTATAACACTTGTGAAACTAAAATTTGCATGACAAATTAAAGCCCAGGAATTTTTAATTGCTGTTATAACAAGTTTTAAGATCAGAAGAAAGTAGAAGAACCAAGGTAAAAACATAGGAAATTTCATTTGCTTCATGAGCTTGGTATAGTATATTGATAGCATGCAAAAAGAGCATCCAAATCATAAATGGCATCAATATTCTTGATCAACTTATCCCTTCCTTTTCTTTAAACTTTTGTCAGTTTGCAAATGGGTGGATATATGGTGAAACATGTTCAGAATCTTCCAAAGTGCAGCCATTAATGAAACAATATAAACTATTATCAGAAAAGGTAAGAAGTTCATGTCAGATTTTTTTCTTGTGATCTTTTCTTTTAATCATTGAAAGTAGCAATCAATTTTAGACCTTTCCCATTAGTTAGAAAATTCCATTAAGACCTGAAGAATATATGTTGTTTCTTCTGTCACATGTAAAATTTTTAGTTGGAAAGGCAAGAGTAATAAATTCTGGACAGTGAGAATTTTCTCCAGATTATCTGCCTTATTACAGCACAGGACTTGTGTGAATTCTTCCAGAATTCCAGAAAAAAGAAACATACTCCATAAACCCAGCAAAAATAGTGATAGGAACTCTAGCCTCCATTTTGTTTCTCTTGTGCTCATCCCTATCAATCTTCATCACTAGGGAAGGTCTGAAGAGATTGTGTGCGATGAATTTTGCAGTATTTGCACAATAAAGGAGCACACTAAAGCTAGGATTTGAAGAAAAAACTTTACACCTATCATTGAGCCTTTGCTCAATAAATCCTTATAGATTTAAACATTACAATCACAGGACAATAGTCTGTGAAGATGATTGTTGAAACAGGATCCAAGTATTTTTCCCTGAACTATGTATCTTACATTTGAATGGCATAAGTATTCTGTTTTAGGACTGGAAGTATATTTCTGTCAGTCAGCAGTATTTTTAGCTAATTCCAAACTATACTTCTTTGTTGAGTAAATGCACTGCTTTCATATGCTTGTCATATCACTTGCAAATCCCATTTAATCTCATCAGCTTTTGGTGGTGAAGAAGTTATTTGAAAGGATCTGTGGGGGCAACTACACTGTCCTAATAAAATTGGCCATTACAAAATTGATAATAATACTTTCTCCACAGGATGCTATACATTTCTCTTAAGAGTTTGGAGTTGGGGATTTTCAGTTTGGTAAAGCATGGAGATGTTATTCTTTCCCATGGATACTGATTTTTTGGTATCCCCAGCTTTTAGCAATCCTCCTACTAATTTACTACTTATTGCTTAACCTGTCTCCTAGTTGTGATAGATTGTCAATGTCCAAAGTTCACATCAATAAAAGAATTAGAGGGTCTTTTGAAGTGTATGATACATCTTTCAGTTTATGAGGGCAAGATATTTCTGCTTTACTTTCAGCTGTTGTGATATATAACCAAAAGCATAAAAGATTCATTTAATAGGAATTGTTTTCCTATATAATGCTGCAATTTGAGGATAGTACTCTGTTCTTAGAAAGTAATACTTATAATATTTGTATTATATTTAATGGATTTTTACAAATATCCTTTTTTCTTTCTTTTTGTTATTGCTACATTTATATCTTTTCTAATGTACTATATAAGTGATATGAATATATAGATTTTAAATAGTTATTTCATAAAGAAAAGCTATATAAATATTTTATTGTCATATAGATAATAATTGATATTTTTAGTGCTCAATTTCAAATTATTATTTATTTTGATCATAGAATAGCATAAGGCAGATAATAATCACTATAAAACAAAATTATCTTGGATTCTGATCAGCTAGCAAAAGACTGAGCCTGGGTACTGTATTGCAAATAAGAAAATATACATATATTGTAGGTGTATAAAAAAAGGCAATGCAGCAACTCATGGTTTCAATTTCCCTATCATAAGAATTTCAGAGTTTCACCTAAAGAGTTCCAGCTCTTCAGGTATGTTGCAGAATTTTCCTTCCCAAAGGGTTAGGAGGAAGACATGAAAGCAGGCATGTGTGCAAACGCGTAACTTTAATTCTCATAATACTGTACATAGTATAGACCGGAGTTATAACACTGTTATAGACTATGATTTTATAGGTTTCACCCTGGTTTTAATCCCTATACTTTGTAATTCTATACTAGTCTTTCTTTTCTTTTATTCTATCAATGTGATATTTTATTCTTCTACTGTATTTCAGAGTGATTGTTCTGATATTTGTTTTATGCTCGTCTACAACCAAAATAATTTTTAATTGAATGTTGGTTGCTAAGGAAGTTAAAATAGATATGCATAGAATCAAAGCAGATTTTTCCAGTCAAGGATCCACCTTTCATATAAATTTGCTTGGTGGTGGTCTCTGTTATTTATACATATCTCAAATTCAGTCAAAAGGTTGAGTGCTACTGACCACATGTGAGGACAACTCTTTTACTACTAATAGGATCATCATATATGCACTTTTTTTTTCAGGAAAAAGAAATTTATAGATGGCCAATCAAAGAGTCTCTGAAAACCATGCTTGCTTGGGGATGGCGAGTTGAAAGAACAAGGGAAGGAGATACTATGGCTCTTTATAATCGTTCACGTCGGATATCACAGACAAGTCAGGTATATTTTGAGATGCAAGCACTTCTGATGATGTTACTTAGTAGCTTTATCACTAATATTTCCTAGCTATTTTTTTAAAATACTGTTTTGGAGATAGAAATTGCAGCATTCCTTCAGTGTGAGCATTGGCTTCCAAGTTCTGTAAGTAGGGGAAAATAATCTAAACTTTATATAGTTTAATGTTCTATGTTTATTTTGTATTTGCTGTTTTTGAAGTATCTAAAGAAAATGGAATTTCTCTTCACAAAATACTTTAGGATTGTGATTTTTATAAAACTCTTAACGATTTAACAGGGGCAGTATATAGAAAGAAATGTAATTTTAAATATAAACAAGCTTGAGAGAGAATATGTTTTTTTTTTCTAGGAGAAATCCTTTCTTCAAGTAATACTGCTTCTAAATGTTTTGTGATACATGTTTTCACTTTCATAAGAACTTTAGTGGAATTCCTATACAGCATTGAAATTCCTGAAATTTGATAAGCTGAAACTTTTAGCATCTGTTTACATTATTTGATGATTACTATATTTGATAATTAATATGTTTTATGCTTTGAGTCTTATCTATATATTTACCTTCATTTTATTGTAATTCAATGCATACATCATTTATTCAGTTTAAGGTAAATGTAACATTGGCATTCTAGAATTCATGGCATTCAGTTTTAAGTTTTAACTAGATTATTTTGAATAATGAGATCTAGCACAGTTCTAACATTTAGGATTTAATATGAAATCATGATACACTGATAAATTTGTCAATGTTTTCCTATTCCTTGATAGAGCCCCTCTGTAAGCTGTCATTAAACCTGTTCAAATATGTTCTATTGTTCTTTTTTTCTCTTAACGCCTCTATTGATATTTATTTAGGTTTCTGTAGATACAGTCCATGGCTATAGCCCCCGTGCAATTGACATGAGTAATGTTACCCTGTCCAGAGAATTACATGTAAGTTATGTGGCTATTGTCATTAACTTTAGGAATGTAATGTTTTAAGAAGTTTATGTGGCTTTTTCAATAATTACTTAATACAGTTCTCTACCAACCCTCTGATAGTTATCATTTATTCTCCAACTTTTCTAACAGATGCTTGGACCTGCAATTGGTCTTCCAAGAATGGTAGGGGTTTTGTTATGGTTGTTCCAGCTGGTGGAAGGGTAAGAGGCAATTTTTGCCAATTCCTCCTTTCCCTGGCAACTTTCCCTGCTACTTTTGACACTGATCTGGAAGATTCTCCAGTCTTCCAGACCAGATTTTAGGGAAGCACAAGGAACTGAAGGGTGAATTGGTAAAAATTTCCTCCTCCCCACCTCCTGAGGGAGCATGCCAGGAGCAGAATTCTGCTCATGTAATTTCTGTAATATTGGAGACAATTTGTGGAAGTCTCAAATTAATTGTTTAAAAACATGCCAGTAGTTGGTATTTTAATATTTTTGGCTGGGACCAAAAGTTTTGTTTAAAAAAATGAAAACAAACTTAACTAACCTACTATAGAACAAATTGTAATTATTTATGTCTTTCTTCTTCCTTAGGCAATGGCTGAGATGATGGCTGAAAATTATCATAACATATGGGCGAAGAAGAAGAAAATGGAGCTTGAAGCCAAAGGTACAATCTCTTTTTAAAATATATAAATGACCTTAGGCTGACCATCAAGAATACTTGTTCAGGACATTCTGCATTTTGAAGTAGAAAATTGAGACACCCAGAAATTAACATTCTATAGCCAAAACATATATTTTCAGTATAATTTCTCTTTTTTTGTTTGATAACTCTGTGATATGCTACATATAATAATGATTCTGTGTGAAAAATATATTTTAACATTTTAAGTGCAATTTTATATATGGTGTTACGTCATAATCTAAAGTAACCATTTCTGCAGTGCCTGACCTGGTGAAAGTATTAAAATGCATGCAAGCAAAAGTGATTCTAAGATATTTGTGCAGAATTAATTGTGAAATGACCTCTGCAACATATGACTTTGAAAATTTTAAATGAGCTTTGAGTAAGAGTCCCTTGACAGTGAGATGGGTGGCATATAAAAGTAAACTGCATAACAGGTTAATAATATGGATAGTAGGAGTTGGGATTTTCATTCTTAGCAATAAGCATTAGTAAATTAAAATATTAGCATATGGAATTGAATATAAGGAGTAATGTGGTGGCTGAGAGGTGGAGCTCTTGCCTCCTAATCAGGAGGCTGTGAGTTTGATCCTAGGTAGACGCGGATATTTCTCTCTGGGCACAATGAGAATATATCTGCTAAACAAAACTCCGCATTGGCAACAGGAAGGGCATCTGGCCATTAAACACTCTGCTAGCTCTATTCAGTTGTTCAGACTCCATCCCACAAGAGATTATGGGGTGGTTAAATGATGATCATGATGATATGGAATTAAATATTTCCTATTTTAACAACATGGAGGTAATGATACTAAAAATATGTCCAGTAGGGCAAAGTGAGTACTGTAATGTCTTAATGTTTTATGAAATTTAATTTCTTTTAAAAATAACATACTGTCATTATTTTGTCATTTAATTTCTGAATGCATTCTAGTGGGAGGAGGAAATCATCCCCTACTTGTACCCTATGATACATTGACAGCCAAAGAAAAAGCAAAAGATAGAGAGAAAGCCCAAGATATTCTGAAGTTCCTCCAGATTAATGGCTATGTTGTGTCCAGGTAAATGCTAATCAGTTACTGCTATAGGCTTTAAAGCTGAAATATGTAGCTGAAAAATGTATTGCATGGCAAAATTTGTTTTTTATAAGAAAATAGTTACATCTAAGATATGTATTTATGTGTTGATTTGCCCTTTTCCAAATAATATCTTTCTTCTTTATGTGTTATGTGAAGGCATAAATATTAAGTGTTGATTTTCTCTTGACAAATCTAAGAGTTATGATCCAAGATAACATTTCTTTACTATGAAAAAGTAACAGAAAAATTAAAGATGTCTATGTTGTTGTGAGAAAGGATATGTGAAGAACATCATCATTCTCTCCAGGTTTGGCAGGGAGGAACTCATATGACAGAATTTTGTTCTGCATGAGTTTTCCCCCTTCTCTTTTAAGAAAAAAAAATCAGTTGGTTTTATTTTTAATTTACCAAATTTGATTGGTTGCAAGCTGCTTGAAGAAATGTAACGACAATAGCATATAATTTCTTAAATAATAAACTGTTAGGCCTTCATTAAGAAGGGGAAGCAAAAGAACAGTTTTGTGATTTCCTGCCTTTTAAGAACTTGGTAAGGATGAAGATTTTCATATAAAAAAGACACAACATTTATGATAGTAACTAGACTTCTTACTCATAAATGTAGCATAAAATAGCTTTGCATATGCATATTGTCATTCAATCCTATTGCTAACAATCTCTTTAGATATGTACCAGTTCAGTATAGTGGTTAAGACACCAGGCTAGAAAGCAGGAAACCACAAATTCCAGTCCCACATTAGCCATGAAAGCATGCTTGGTGACTATTCTCTCTTCTCAGCACAATCCAGCTCAGAAGATTGTTTTTGTGGGGTAAATAGGGGGAGGAAGGTGTGTTGTATATGGTCACTGTCTTGCATTATTCATAAAAACAATAAAGGTGGAATTCAAATAAATAAGTACATAAAAATAAATTAAAAGATTGAACTAGAGACCCATAACTTTCAGCCATAAACCTTCCTTGATAAGCTTATATACAACTTAACTTAATTCAAGGTGGGGATTGTAAAATTGTAGGTGGCAAAACCAGAAATACAACCTTGAATTTTCTACAGCAAAACCAATATAATCAAATAAAATTCTGATATTGTGGTTTAAATTAATTCATAATTTATTATTATACCCAAAGGGGCTGAACTATAATGTATGCATGACTTTCAAACCTGTCAGTCTCCAATTTAAAATTTTACAGCCTGTCCCAACCTGAAGAGAATACAAAAAATAAAAAATTATAAGAAGCAATAATAATAACAAATTAACTTTCCTCCAAGATAGACACCAGCAAATCTTTGTGATTTTGAAAGCTAAGCAGAAAGATGTCCACATAAGCTTGCTAATATAATGATGCAGAAATAAAAGAGCAAACATTAAATGAGTTGTCAAAGGGTAGTCACTACTTAAAAGGAATGTAATTTTAAGTCTAAATTATTTATTTAACATATCCCATTTGGTAAATAAATAATGTCATGACTGTCTCTATGATCATTTCAAAGTTTGTATAAGATCTCCTTTCTAAATTTTTTCTTAGTTGGGAGCAATATTTTTTTAATTTGTTCCAGAGGCTTAAAGAATTTAGAATTAGACACACCATCCATTGAAAAAAGATTTGCTTACAGTTTTCTGCAGCAATTGATACGATATGTAGATGAAGCCCATCAGTATATTCTGGAATTTGGTAAGCTATTGTAAATATATATTTGATATTATTTAATATATTATATTACTATATAAAATATAGCCTTAACAAGTTTTTTTACATGGGTAATAAGAAGCAAGTGGCTTTAAAAAGTGTTAAAATTATGTTATTTTTTTGAGATACAGTTCAACATTATTTCTTTTTGAATGGTAGCAGTTGAACACTTTCATTAATAAAGACTCCACACACAATACTAAGCTGTAGTGTGGTTTCTCTATCCTTGTTGTGCTAGTACATTGTGGTGTTACATTTGATATCAGTCAAGTCACTATGTCTTCTGTAATAAAGTAGATCTTAAAAAAAGACTGGCTTAGTATTGTGCATGAACCAGCCAGATCTTAAAATGAGTCAGAGCCAATCATTCTCTACTTTTTGAAAAAAAAATCATAAGCTACATGAAAATTTTTCAAAGGAGCAAAACAATTATCAATTAACAGCTGTCCAACTGCTTTGTGCCTGTAGGTGAGGAAGATATCGAAATACGTTCTGACTATTTTCTAAGAAGTCAGGAAGATTAGTTTTACTTCTTAGCAAAGTACAAATAGTATACTATTCGTAGAATACTAACAATAGTAATAATAATAATTTATTAAATTTATATGCTACCTGACTCCCAGCAACTCTGGTAATGAAATATAGAAAGCCGAATTTTTAGAAATGCATACTTCTTCCCCTCTTCCCAATCAGTTAATCACATAAATGAAAATAAAAAAAAGAGAAGAGTAGTGGACCTTTTTAGAAAGTATAATACACTCATGATCTGTTTTAGTTTTAACTTCTTTTTGTTCTTCTTTTTGGAAGAAGAACATTTCTGAAATGATTACTGATAATTCTCTTAAAATATAGAACACAGAATAATATAAGGTTCTTAACATTTACCGTCAACCTTTCAAGTACTATATATAACAGTTGTTTTATGAAATATATGAATTGCTATTTATCAGAAGTAATTTGTATTTTATGTAGCTGAGTTCTTAGAAAAAGTCTTGGGGATTTAATTTGCTCTCCTAAAAAGAGAGAGAAAGAATGCCTTTTCAAGCTGCTGTTGATAATGCAAGACACTGTTGCAAATTAACAAAGACTGAATTCTGTTTTATAGAGTATATGAATGTTATACACTGAAATCAAGTTTGTTAATGTGCTGCTTTGTGGGTTATGAAGAACCTTAAAGCATCTAAAATAAAAAGCAACATTTCAAGTCATGTAGTACTGTAGAATGGATAGATGAAATACAATGCAAAATTGGCTGTAATATATTCAATTAGGTTTGCAGCACTTTTTTTTCTTATACAGATGGCGTCAGCAGAGGAAAAGGAGAACAGTTTCCTTATGAACAAGAAATCAAATTCTTCGCTAAAGTAAAGTATTTCTGTAATATTTATTATGGCAAATTAAAAGTTAATATTAATCAAATGTAAAGCGTAGTTATGACATTGAGAACAAGCCACATAAATGCTGCAGATGGTAGCACAGTAACATATTCCTGCTTGCTAATCATGCAGTGACTTGTAGTGATTTTTTTTTTAAATTAGAAGAATACATGCTAGAAGCAAAAATTATTCCTTGGGTGGTGCTTAGTGGCGGTATTCTACTGGTTCGGCCTGGTTCTGCCGAGCCAGTAGCAGTAATGAGCAGTGGAGACTGAACCGGTCCACCCACCTGCCCGGGCTCCCATACTGACCTTTATCCTCTGCTTTTGAAGAGCAGCTACTTTGTGTGGCACAGCAGAGTGCTGTGTGGCAACTGCTGAAGTGACCGGGAGAGTGCAGGCTTGCAGGAGGTGAGTTGGAACACCTCTGCACCTGTGCAAATGCCTCTGTGCCTGCACAAAGTGCGCATTTGGTGTGCCTGCAAAGTGTCTGCACATGCACAAAGCGCACCCACCAAGCCACGCCCACCGAACCGGTGGTAAAACTTTTTGAAGTACTAACATCCATAGCTGCTTGAGCAAGCTAATGCTCCATTGCTGAGCTATTATTGCCAATTCAAGATCAGGCATAGGGAGAATTTCTGCAATTAAAATGATAAAAAATAATAAAGTAAAAATATAAGAACATTAAGACTGGAAGCTATTTTGTACCTCCAGATAAAAGGATAAAATTTTGAATCCTACTAAAGGACATGTCTTAGAGAAAAGTTGAATTTATGTTAATAAATCTTGCATATACTATATGTTGACAGGTCTTTAGTGCCACAAAACTAAGGGATAATAAAAGCAGCAGTAAGGTATTGTACTAATCAGTATATAGTATTTTTATCTCTTCCATGTATTTATTTCAGGTTGTACTTCCTTTAATTGATCAGTATTTCAAAAATCACCGCCTGTATTTCCTATCTGCAGCAAGCAGACCTCTGAGCAGTGGGGGTCATGCTTCTAACAAGGAGAAAGAAATGGTAACCAGGTAAAAAGATATATAACATAGTATATGATAAAGTATAATAGCCAATTCGCATATTCTAAACCTTGGCAGGTTTATGGATATATTTAGATATATTTAGAAAAGTGAGAAGTAACAAAAATCCAATATCTATTTTATAAAGTTATGAACTCTAAAAACTGAAATTTGAATAATAAAGATCCTTCATCTTTCTCCTATACCTAGTAGTGTTTCCATGTTTTGACACCTCTTATATTCTCTTTCCACCACCCTTTTTTTTCTTTTACATTGCTTTTAACTAGAGAGGCTCTCAGCTTTTATGATTTTGCATCTGATAGTCGCTTTGAATACTCTGGGGCTAGAAAAACAGGACATAAATTGCACATGTGAATATCAATAATTTTGCCGTTCTGTGTACTCTCATGCTGATTTCACCAGTATATTTTTAGATAAGGTGACATACAAGCATTAACCAAGTTTCCTTGTTTTTTATTGGTATTACTGGTACAGATACACATGTATACACATACATGCTACAGTATATTATGGCTAACATGGATTCCCATCTTTATATGAATTACTATATGTAGCAAACTTTACAACCAGCAAATGTTATTAGAAGGCATACATTTTCATAAACTATAACTCACTTCATCAGCCAGTTTATGCCTTCTAATATCCTTTTCTTTTTGAGGATCTTATCAACTCAATTTAACATGACTTTTTCAGACATTCAGTCTTTCTTCATATAATCATTTTGTGATTGATCCTCATTTATTCTCCCTACATAATCAAACCCACCTCAATAGATTTCTTTTGTACTGATCATTCTCTTTTATATTTAAATAATTCATCACCCATTCATTCTTCACTCTTTATATTCTTTTTTTTAAACCACATACCTTTTTTAAAGGATCCACTGAATTCAACTCAGTTTTAGTTAAATTTAACTCCTGATATACCCAATTCTCACTTCCATAAAACAAAGTGAACAAGGTACATATTATATACAGTATTTTTCTTTTTACATTTCTGCTTCACAACAGATCACATACCACCTTTCTATCATAATATATACATATGCAATTGTTAAACATTTTACCAAAGCACACAAATTCATGAACTTGCTCCATTTTGTCTGTCAAAATGGCTACCTGCATCATCAACCCATTAATTTTCAAGTCCATGTTTGTGGCACACATAGTACAAGTCAAGCTGTGTGTGCATGTACATGCCAGCCTGCTGCTCGTGCAAGTTGAGCTGTGTGTGGGTGCACGTGTACTGCCCCACTGCTCACATGGCCTGGTTTCATTCCCCCCACCCACCCGGGTGGGCCACCAAACTGCAAAAGTTGGGGACCGCTGCTGTATAGCTTTCACTGCAAATTATTTGGGTTCTTAATTAACAATATGGATGTCCTTTTACATGTAGACAATGTACCATTATCTATATGTTAAAGGGCACTCATATTCACATTCCCAGTCAGCATACTAATATTGCTTTGCTATGTATTCATTTATCCATATCTGTATCAACCAACAAGGTGAAAATACACATCCTTTCATCTTGATCAATATTCAGCAATTCAATGTGCATTTCATTTATTCTCATATTTGTTTTTCTTCTATCATATGCCATTCTTTTATATTCAGCAACAAATCTTCAATTCTATATTGTTGTGAAATCATCCTATAATTCAAGTTTATTTACTTTATTTTTAGCTATTTCATTTTTTTCTACAATTACACCAGCTTGATTTGGAATACGTTTTCTTTCTCATGGTTGTACATTTCTCAAGGCCCTGCTGAAAGCAAACATTTGGTCTGTACATTCTCTGTAATAATGCTCTCATTCATTCATTCATTCATTCATTCATTCATTTATTTATTGTCAAAAGCACTCCCCATAATACATTTTCACCACTGCCATTTCTTGAATCTTTTAAATCAAAAGATTAGCAAATGGAATTTGAGACTAATAATTACATTATATCCTGTGTAAGTTACCTATTTTCAAAACTTGTAATATTGTTTTCATCTCATTTGATAATTGAAAACAAAATATGAAAATCATGACAGAATAAATATGTAAATATACTTTAACATTGTATCTGACAACTTTTTCTGAATTAGACAAAATAAAAGAAAAATTTAATGCTTTTCAGTATCTTTTTAAAAATTACATTGGTCTTGGATTCTCAAAATAAGATATTGCCTTAGAAATACCTCTGTGACTGATATTTTGATTCATTAACCTAATCAAGGTAGTATTAAACAGTGCAGAGTTTTCTTATATAAAAGAGTGACTGAATTAGTCAACCTATTAAGAGATAATTAAAAGTAATTATATCATTTTGTCTGGGAGCAATGATAATACTTAGTATTGCTTCCAGACCTAACATATTGTATAAAACATACATTTCAAGGAATTTAGATTTGAGCTTAAATTTACTTCATTCTGAGACATAAGGTATGTTGTTAATATTTATTTACTTATCTAATTCATAATATGAATATCCCTTGATCACAGTATTTCTGAAAATGTGGGAATAATAAATTCTAGAATTAATCCATCAGCCTTCTGATAGTATGACTTGAGTTCATAAAAACTCATATTTGCATTTACAGATGGAGCTCTCTTTTGCATGGAAACAGTTTGTATCAGTGCAACAGAGCAACCAAATGCAATCCATTTTATAAAAATTAATCCATTCATATCTACTTAAATTTGTATCTTACTCATTTTCATTAACTTTAATTAAGCAGAATTCAAGCCTACTGAAATGAATGGTTTTAGTAAATCTGTGTTGATCAGTGGCTAGTAGGAATTGTGGGTCAAATACATTTTATTTTAAAAAGCAATATAAGCGTTATGCATACATAAAATGAATGTACTGTATACTATTAAATATTTGCCTATTACTCAGAACCTTTTCTCTCTTGCTCTTAAAATATATGTTTACACTTGTATCTATATCTAGGCTACTGATTAAACTTTGTTGCCTAACATGTTAAAGACTATCTCTTGATAGGGCTTCCCACTTACTCTCTTTCTTTACCTCAGATATGTGCTTTCTTAACTATGTTTGTTGTGGAGCAATTCTTGGAAACTTTTCTAGTATTTTCAGTCCTACATTCTGCTCAGTACTGATTCTTTCTGCAAAACATCATGTTGCTTTTTCTTGCTCATACATCACCTCTTATTTTCTTCCTTTTTTCCTTTGTCCCCTCCCTTCTCTTTTATTTATCCTTTGTCTTTAGCCTATTCTGCAAACTTGGAGTTCTTGTCAGGCATAGGATTTCACTGTTTGGTAAGAAGACCCTTGACAAATGCTTGTTTGAGCATCCCTTGTTTTTCTTACCATTATTTGCAACTCTGTGTGTCCTCTTTGTTTGCATGCTGCATGATTTTATGTATCACTGATGATATTTGTGGGCTAGCAAATCAAGGGAATTTCAGTAAACATGCAAATTTTAATTTGATTATATATCCACAATTTTCCTGATAAAACGGCATAGCATTTCCATAGCAGTCACTTGGAATCTTGTGTATTTTGGGGTCATTACTATTTGGGGTCATGATCCTGCTCTCTGTGTTCCCCATATCTATAGGTACACGTACACACAGCATTTGCACAGCCTCTTTTGGAGTTACATGCCAAAGAGATCAAATAATTCTATTGCTCTGTTTTTCATAAAATAAGTATTGCATGTTTGCCTCTGAATATGAATCATGAAAAATTCCATATAGATTGGCAGAGTAAGTTTCCCATCCCTATTACTCACAAGGTGATCTGTGGTATAAAATTGTTTTAAAAGTTCAATTATGTATATAGCTATGTTGAAAACTTATTATTACTATTCCTCTAAGAGAATGATTATTGGAATCCTTGCATATTTGAAATATAATTTTAACCAGGACTCTGGCTATTTGACAGTAATTTGAGACAGATTATTGATGAATTATTTTGATGTGTATAAATATATTAGATTGTCATATAAGTTATCCTAATAGGACAGCAAGTGTATAGCGGTTAGTATACTGAACTGATGATGCTAAGGAGACATAGATTAATGGCCACACTCAGCTATGCAACTTAGTGAGTGACTCTGGGCCTATCATTGGCAAAAAGATTGGCAGAGGGTCCGCAAAATAAAACAGAAGCTCAATAAAAATCATAAACCACTAGATTGGCTGGCCTGGCTGGCTGGCTGACTGACTTATTGATTGATTGATTGGGTGGGTGGGGATGTATGCCACCCTAATGGTAACCACCAATCCCATTCCCTAAAGAATGTTTTAGGAGTAATTTAGGGACTATGCAGGTTTCTAGAGTTTTTTTTTAAATGCCTGTAGGTCACTGCTTAGCTCTTTTTCAGCTGGAATTTTATATCCAGCCTTGCATAAAACGATCAGAAATCAGCCGCATAGACAGCATAGCAAGCCCTTACTGAACATGCAGATTTTGAAATGAAAACTTAAAAGTAATGAAATTCAGCTTATCTCTCAAGTTTGTTGATAATTTTATTTTACTGACTTATATATGGCTTGTTGAAAACGCCTAGCAAATATGTGGGATTAGTCATGCCAGAGCAATAGAAAATGGTGAGCGGTTGATTATTTTTGATGCAAACTCCTATGTCAAGTGTTGAGAGAAGGTAAAACAAGACTCATGAAAAGTAAGAGACCTATATCAGCATACTCCACAGAGCTACAAGATTTAGAGAAGTTCTAAATACCTGAAACAGCCAAACATTTCAGTAAGGCTCAGTCATGCTGAAAAACTCCAAAACACTGAATACTTGTATAAGGAGATAAAATAGAAATCACACACAACATCCCCCCAAAAGTACTCTGACTTCCATCCTTAAAGAATTCACTTCTAATAGGAAAGATAGATATGCTTCAACATTTGTAGGAGGTCAATTTTGCATGACAGATGTATTGATTAAACTTTAATACATTATTATAATTAATGGAACAATGCATCTTAGATGTATTTTATTTTTGTACCACAAATACAGGATTTATTTTGTCTTCACTCTGTGTGTGTGTGTGTGTGTCTGAATGCAATTCCACATGCACTTAAAGCAGATCAGCCATTAGCTGATGTCCCTTTCTAAATATCGTCTTTATCAGAAGTGAGAATTGGAAAGGGAGAAGTGGTTTTTCACTAATGGTGCCTTAGTGAAAGTCACCTAACATCAATTTTGCTTTTATTAATAAGACATTTTTTAAAAAAATAAGCACATTTGAAATATTTATCTGTGTGAAAGTATGACATTAATTGCACTATTATGTCCTTGTTATTTTTACTTAGGGTTTTTTTTTTGGTATACCTCTAAAATGGAATATACATTCTTCAGATAACAGTAAAACACCTACAAAAGATTCATTCAACTACCTAGTATTTTTATAATGTAGTTCATTTCTTGATCATTTATCTATAGGCCTTTTAAGAATTTAGTAATTTTCAGCTTTATTTATACTTTCTCTTAAATTTTCTGTTCAATAGAATTCTGTGTTAAGGGATTATATTATTATAAAATATTTAATTTTTTTGAGATATTCTTAGTAAGCTTAAAGCTTTTATTGTGTTAAGAATTTTTTGACATCCCATCTTTTATATAATTAAACTTTCTTTTAGGATATTTTATCTGAACATTATGAAAAAAAATAATGTACACAGAAATCTGTCAACATGGAAGTCAATTTGGCGTATTTTAGGAATTTTTAATTCAAAATGTTACTAATTAATTTTACATACATACTGTTCAGATATGATGGAGATGATAGGGTTTGTGTAAATGTAAATAAATATAATAAATGAAATTATATTTCATTAATACAGCTATGAGACAATGTACACTATATTCCTTAGCATATACAAGTATTACACTTATCATCATGTTTTCTACTCATAAGTGTATGCAGTGGTGTAATTGTAGAAAGAAATGAGTCCTGAACAGTTCTTGAATTGTTTCTGTATTGTGGTTCCAGCAACATTCATGCCAAAAGTCTAAGGACCATAAATTTCAGTGAAAAATATACTTGACTTTCTTAGTGTATGAAAGGCTAACATCACTTAACTATATACCGGGTTATATCCTAGATTATTACTTTTGTGAATTATGTAAAAAATATTCTTTGAGAAAAACTCTTCAATGTTCTTGGAGAAATACATTACAATTTCATTATTGCCCAAAATTTTGAAAAATCTATTTTTGACATCTTCATTCTCCAAATTCTTCTTTTAAACATCAGTGGATATCTTTTACAGTAACCAACTTTGCATGGCTCATTGCTTTCATTATTCTTTATCTGACAGCTTTAGATTCAGATGTGATTCATGACACATTATAGAACATATGTTTCTATGTTAATGCATAAATTAATGTGATAAAAAGATTAATTTTTAAAGAATATAATCTAAAAATTTGAAATGTCAAAAAATATTCAGGGAGCATATCACATTCACAAAAAAATGTGTTTTGTTTATGTTAGTTAGATGTTTCTTTTTTTGCATCTACTGAAATCATTGAAATAATATTTTAATTAATATAATGTATAACATAAAATTGCACTTGCAAGTTCACCAGTAGTGCTGAAAAACAGAAACCGCATAATACAGAATCTCTCATTTTTCTCCTTTCTTCTGGTGCCCTTAGGAAATGATGCAACTTCAATAGTCAATTGTCTTCATATCTTGGGTCAAACCTTGGATGCAAGGTAGATTGCTAAATAGATTTTATTAAAATATTGTTTCAAGTTGATAGGGACAACATTATTTTAAATGAATACTTAGTTGTGTTTTTTCATTAATGGAGACTTGCTAAATCAGAAAGATTAATAATTCCAGGAGAAAAGCTATCAGTTCCTCTGTCCCACTGAAAATATGTTTGGATGCCATATCATCTATTTATATGTCCCAATTCCTAATTCTCATATTTAGTTTACTTGGAAATTTTATAGATTACATATTTATATATGAGCTATCATCGTAACTATTTTCTCAACTAGGAATGAAGGACAATTGCATGGTGAAAATGTTTTGTTACAAATCATAGCATTACATATTATGTGAATGTTTTGAATGTGTTTAAAAGTATGGTGATATTACTGAAACTTTAAAATTAGGTATGTTGCATTAACACCATCCTTCATCATTCCAAAAATTTATTTTCTAGCAAATAATTCAACAGTGTATCCCTTGTTGTTTTACACTGTATGCTCTGAATTGATTCTCAAAACTATATTTTCCGATCTTTCGAAGTCCATCTTTGACATAATCAGCTTGTTCCTATTCTTTATTGTTGCTTAGTCTAAACACATGCAACTGTTAGAGAGCTGCATGCTGCTTTTTCTTCTTACAGAGATTCCTATATTCTAATAAACACTTACGCTAGTATGTTCTGTATTTGCTACAGTTTCAGGGTAGCCTCAGGCACAGAGTTGACTTGAACCTACTTGTGATATTATCAGAATATTATAGAGGCTAGTATGGCTTCATACAGAGCCAGTGTACATTGTAGTCAATATTTCAGAGTGGGACCAAATATACACGTTTAAATTTCTACTTAGTGATGTTACACAACTCTATATGCATAGTACCGGGTAAATTTGAACAATTCACTATCTTGCAGACAACTTTACTTTGTAGAGATAAAAAAGTGATGGAAGATTCTCATGTAAAATATCTTGAATTCCCATAGAAATATAAATCATAACAACCATAGCTAATCTCCACAAATCCCATTTAAAGTTCAGTTTTAATTAATGTCTGGATGGAGCCAATCTCCCTTCTAGGGAGGAAGCAATGACAGAATTATGTCAACTAACAATTTTGCTTACTAGGTTCAAGACTAATGAACTATTTATAGAGATCTATAATGTCTTTTTATGACACTTCTATAACCAAAGTGTGTTCCTTGGTACATAGGAACTCTATGGAATTTGTTTATAATATAATATAATGTTATTTTATGTACATGCAATATACAGGACAGTGATGAAGACAGGTTTGGAATCTGTTAAGATGGCTTTGAGAACATTTTTGGATAATGCTGCAGAGGACCTGGAAAAAACAATGGAAAATCTTAAGCAGGGGCAATTCACACACACCAGGAGTCAGCCAAAAGGAGTAACACAAATTATTAACTACACAACAGTGGCTCTCCTACCAGTATTGTCTTCATTATTTGAGCACATTGGACAGCATCAGTTTGGTGAAGATTTGATATGTAAGTATTTAAATTAATAATTTATACAATTACAACTCTAAATTATGTTTAAGAACATTATAGCTTGGCTTCTAATATTCCAGACAATAATACATCAATACTTTGATTTTAATGGACTTTATAAAAACAATTTTCAAAATACAATTCCAGCTTCATTTGTTTAATTATATTACTGTATTTATCGATCTTCAAAATGAAAATAATTAAATGCTCTTGATGAGACAGATTCAGGTATTCTTCAGCTGTTTGTAATAATACTAGCATGTTTGCATGTCCAGATATAAAATTTCAAATTGTTCTGAATTGTTTTCTGGTATGTTTATAGTGGTCTCTTAGTTACATTGTGGATAACAATGAAAAGCAATGCACAAAATTGTTTAGTGTTTCTTCCTGTTTTTCTTAGTGGAAGATGTTCAAATCTCTTGTTATAGAATATTGGCCAGTTTATATGCTTTGGGAACCAGCAAGAGTATCTATGTGGAACGGTAAGAAAGAAATATGCAACATTAAAAATGTATTATGATCAGTTAAGTGAATTGTGCATGTTTCTTAGGTGTAGTGCCATGTTACAATTTCCTTCCACCTTCCTCGTTGATTTTGCTGGTGGGAAGCTGGCAGTGAAGATCACAAATGGGTATCAACTGACTAGGGGATGCTGCAACTGTCATAATTACATGCTAGTTGCCAAGCACAGGGGTGCTGCAACTATTGCGACGTTAAGGACTGGTTTTAAGTCTCATTTAGCATCATCATAACTTTGAATAGTCACTATACAAGGATTACCTGTATCTCTGTACAAGTAAGGCGAGGAGCTAATAATAGGCTCTTCATCTGTCAAAGAATCCATATATTTTATCTCTAATAGTAAAGATGGGTCTGCTATAATAAAAATATGATTCATTTTGGGAATGCAACCTCTTCTGGAATATGGAAATCCATTAAAAACCAGATCCCCCCACCCTTTGAAACCACTTCATGTTATTGGCCTTCATCCAGTCCATTTCTTCAATCAAGTCCTAAACACAGAGTGAACTATAATACTACATATGATTGAAATTAAAAATTAGTCTGGATATTCAACAGCATATAAAATTACAAACTGGTGGAATTCTATAGACATTGTAGAATTGAACATAAACTGCGTTTGGAATATTGTAGCCAGTTTATAAAAAAGAAGTTGAGACTCTGGAAAAAGTGTGGAGAAAAGCAATAAAGATGATTAGGGGACTGGAGCCTATGAAAATGGTTGCAGAAATTAGGTATGTCTATTTTAATGAAAAAGAAGAAAAGGGCTAACATGACAACACTGTTCCGATATCTAAGAGGCTGCCACAAAGAAGTCTTGAAATCACCTGGGGTAGAATGGATGCAAACCAATCAAGGAGGGAACCAGAAATTAGGAGACATTTCCTGACAGTGAGAACAATTAGTCAGTGGAATGACTTGCCTTCAGAAGTTGTAGGTGTCACTGGAAGAAGAGACTGGACAACAATTTGTCTGAAATGGTATGGAGTTGGACTAGAAGACCTCCCAAGCCCCTTCCAACATTGTTATTCAAATACCTCAGTACCATCTTCAGGAGATGATATTTCGAATATGAGCAGAACCACTGCAGGATTACCCTGCCTAAAAACTCTCCAGAAAGGTATCAGGATATGTCATATTGAAAGTGACTGAGAAATCTTTAAGAAAATCAACAACATCAACCCCTCAGATTAAGAAGATAGTTTTAGAGCAAAAACTATGACTGAAACGTAAATAATGTTTATATTGTAATAATCTGAGTTAATTCTATATCAGTGTCTACCCAGATACTATTGTTTGGCAATGATTGCCAGGCAAATTGAACATCTTAGAAATCTTATTAACATGAAGCTAAACTAATTATATTTGCATTGACTTTAAAAAGATGTTTTGTTTTGTTTTACTTCACAGTCAACGCTCAGCTTTAGGTGAATGTTTAGCTGCTTTTGCTGGTGCCTTTCCTGTGGCATTTTTAGAAACTGATCTGAATAGTCACAATATTTATTCTATATACAATACGAAGACAACAAGAGCAGGTAACTAAGTATGAATTTACTGAATTATCCAGAATTAATTATACTGCATATTTGCTTTTTACTTTGTTTGTTCTTTGATAATGACTAGTGTTGTCAAGCATTTCACTTTCTGTTCCAAAGAAGTTCCTTGGAGCAGCTGCTTCCCCCTCTCCACTGGAATAACATTTTATTCTCATTCTCTAAACCATGTGTTAGAAAGTAGTGGAACATTGATTTAATTTATCTACTTTCATTTTGGGGCTAGTTTTTAAAAAATGAAATCCAGTTGGATGTAATAGTTTAGAATTCTATTTCCATCAATGTAATTGAAGGAGCATTGTTCCTTTTTGTCCCTGAACTCAATCCCCCCCCCCCCCAAAGAGATTTTAGAAAAATCATTGTACTAGATTTGAAGAGTCTGAGGAAGACGAAGGAAGAAGGGAACCATACTGGAAAAGAGATTATGCAAAAAAAAAAGATCTATTGTGCAAAGCAGAATCCACTCAAATTGATTTTTATATGTGAATATTGAGTCACATACATTCAGAAAATAGACATGAATGATGAGTGATGTTGGAAATACATATGTATAAAATAATGTGTGGAAATATGTATCACAAGCATACATAATTCAGCATGAACCAAGGGATTGTTTAATAATACTGTTAAACATGGTATTATATTAATATGCAGTATTGTTCTTCTAGGTATCAGTTTACCTAACAGCGTAAAGGAACTTTGTCCAAATATTCCATCTCTGGAAAAACTAATGGAAGAAATTGTAGAATTAGCTGAATCGGGCATTCGCTATACACAAATGCCTCATGTAATGGAAGTTATATTGCCCATGCTTTGTAGTTACATGTCACATTGGTGGGAACATGGACCAGAAAACAATCATAACAAGAGTGAAATGTGCTGCACAGCATTGACTTCAGATGATATGAATACTCTTCTGGGAAACATTCTAAAAATCATACATAACAATTTGGGCATAGATGAAGGAGCCTGGATGAAGAGATTAGCAGGTAGGGGAAAATTTTTGGTTCACTTTTGCCTGCATTTAAAAAAAAAAGTTTGAAAATTGAGAAAAGCAAAAACAGCTAATTTCAATAGATGCATTGTACTTTTTAAAAAGGCTAAATGGACTATGAGAGGTAGAGGTTCAGCTTATCAGAAGATGTATATGAATTTAATAATAGGAATAAAAAGAAGTGACCAGGATTTGATAAACCTAAAATGAATGGAGAGGAACAGTGAATAATTTTGGTTTGCATTTCTTTGAGAGATGACCAAAACTCTAATGTAGTAACTCTAATATAAATCTATTGAAGACTGTAACATTTTTTTTGTAGTTTTTCCATGCAGTAAAATTAATGGATTATTTACATAGTGTTTTCTCAGCCTATCATAAGCAAAGTGAAGCCGGAGCTTCTGAAAACACATTTTCTTCCACTGATGGAGAAACTGAAGAAAAAAGCAGCTCTGGTGATCGCTGATGAAGAACACTTAAGAGCAGAAGGCAGGGGTGATATGACTGAGGCAGAACTCCTCATTCTAGATGAATTCACTATACTTTCCCGGGACCTTTATGCCTTCTATCCATTGTTGATCAGATTTGTGGATTACAACAGGTATGCAGAGAACTTGTTTTTAAATCTCTTATTTTACATCATATTATGAGAATGAGTTTTCTGATTCATAAATTGTAACTGCTTTATTTATTAAATTTATTAGTTGTTTAGCATTATTATGAATTAATTTAAGGCCAAGTTTCTTTTTTAATTAATGGTATAGGACTTGAGTTCATCAGTGCGATATCTCTGTCATGTACAATTATTATTTCATCCATAGGTAATTCTTATTGTCTCTTCTTGTACTGATTTCTCTTTTTTACCATTTTTCTCCCTTCTTTTCTCTTTATCTGGAGATGCTATGAATCTAATCTTCTTGCTCAGGGCTGTGTTCCATAAATCCAGAAAATTGAACTGTGTGCATACATGTTCTAAAGTTGAAGATTCCAAAGTGTCTTTGTTATTTCTGCTATAAATAGAAGTGATAATAAATGTTTTTCTTTTTCTTTTCTTTTTAATTTCAGAGCAAAATGGCTCAAAGAGCCCAACCCTGAAGCTGAAGATTTGTTTCGTATGGTTGCAGAAGTTTTCATTTACTGGTCAAAATCCCATGTATGTATTTTCTAAATTTCGTAAATAAGAGGGGTTTCTGTATTGAGCACTGTAGTATAGTGAGTATTGAGCATCAGATACATCCAGGTGGCTCTTGGTACAACAGCATCCAGATGAGATGTGCAATCCAGTCAAAGTCCTAACCTTTTGTACATATGCGTGACATTGATATATGTACAAAAGGGATAGGGTTCACAGTGCTGCAAGTGCCATCTTGCTTTTTTGACTCTCTGCTGTTTCAAAGTGTCAATGTGAGTATGTCTATAAAAAAATAGAAACAGGAAAGAAAGCTCTCTTGGATGGTTTTCTTCTTTTGCAATTTGTTGTGCAAGGCTTTAATCTTACATCTTATAAATAAATGGTAAATACCAGATGACATCCACAAAGAATTCTAAGGTGTTGTCTGGGTTATCTTTTTTCTATTCTGATTTTTTTTCCCAAACAGGATGATTAGAATCAAATCTTCTTCAAGTACTTAGCATTTCTTGTCTTTATGATATCTTAAGGATTCAAAGTATTTGTTTTTATTTGTCTGAAAAATATTGAAGACAGTTCTTTTGCAAATAATTTGAAAGGGAGCAGTATACTTTCTCAAAAGAAAGATGTTGCTTATCTGCATGTAATAAGTTCAGTTTTGTTGAAAGAAAGAGAAATCTTTTTTATCTCTTTATACCATTATATAGATTAAGATTTTATAATACAATTGTACAGTCTTATATAAATTTTAAGACTCAGTGTGAAGGAGGCAATGGAAGAGACAGATAATGAATTTTGTAATATTTCGTGTTTTTATGTTCTTTGTAATATTGCAGAATTTTAAAAGGGAAGAACAGAACTTTGTGGTGCAAAATGAAATCAACAATATGTCTTTCCTTATTGCTGACACTAAATCGAAGATGTCCAAGGTATAAGAATTTACAAATATTGCTGCATATATCAAAATATTGCTAAAACTCTAGTTTTTTTTAAATAATTAAAATCTTTCACATATACTGGGATGTTGAAATAGTCCAAACATTTTAGAGTATTCTAAATATTTCCTAAACATGTTATCTATAGAGATAAAAATTATGGAAAGGATGCATATTTCTAATTTGAAATTTCTTTAACCACTATAAACTAATTCCAAATTTCACATCCATTTTCAGGGGAATCACTAGGCCCACTTCATCAGTGTAGAATCTCTGCAATGCAAATAGCTATCAAATGTAATTACCATGTAACTTGTATCATATAAAGAAAAGAATTATCCTCATTCTGAAACACTTCTCTCCCCAACAGATTAATTTTATATCTATCCTTCAGTAGATGTTTTTTCTCTTTTATTAAATATGAATTGTTTTCTATTTCTAACTTTTTGAAGTACAATGTTCTACAGAAAAAGCTGAGGTCATGCCCAGCATATCCATTTTTCCAGGAAAACGTTTGGAAAACCAAGTTGCTAAATGAAACTGCAGCTTCTCTCTATACTGTATCATTTTTTTTTTACAAAAAGTAAGAGACTAATAAAGGTGTCACTGCTGGTTAATTGAAGGAAATCAGCATGGCTGCTTGGGGTAGAGAAGCATATCTATAAATGAAGTGATTGTGTCCTGAGGAGGGAGAAACAGTCAGAAGTAGAGAAGTGGGAAATGGAGATGTGAATGGGTTCAGAGAGGCCAACTTACTTACATTAATATTTTAATTAATTAATTAATTAAATTAATATTAATATTAATATTAATATTTTTCAGTATTTCAGTTCTTGTTCTTTTCTAGAAGTACATTAAAGTAGACTTAGTTGTATCTAATTGGTAATGCATATTGTTGACCATTGAGACAACATAGGAAAATTAATAAAAGAGACTGGTAAAATTTTACAAGGCCAGTACAAAATATTTTGCTGCAGGACGTATAGGACAATCTACTGTTGTACTTTCTTCTCAAATCCACCAATGAAAGTTTACAGGACTGCTGAAGGACCCAGGACAGTCACATGCAATACTAGTTCTGGTTTCTAATACAGTGGCTTGGTTGGGAAGCTACCACATTTATTCTTCTGGACCACCCATCATCAGTTTGTAGGATTGGCCTTGCATTACCCAATGTTAGGATAATCCAAGATTAATTACAGTAGCCTTCACAATCCTGAACTCTGGAGTCCTACTAAAAGAATCACTAATTGCTCTGCTTCTATTATCAGACAATAGGCATTGAGTTTAAAATCCCTTCCCTTGGGTTGGATTATTTTTTGAGGTTATATCATTATTTTAAAGTGACACTTTAAAAATGTATACCTGATTAGATATTCCATCTAACTCAGGGGTGTCAAACTGGCAGCCCGCGGGCCGGATGTGTTACATGCAGGCCACACCCACTCCAGCTCTGGGATTGGGAAAAATATCACCAAGTGTCATATGACGGCAACGTGGCACTGCAAGTTTGACAAATCATTAAGGAAACTGCTATCATGAGAGCAAAATAATAGCATGATGGTAATGTAGTTGAAAACAATAACACAGTGGAAATATCATAGGAAGTTCCAACTGCTCCATACAAGTGCAAATAAAAGATCAAGACAAAGTTTGTCATAAGAGTGAGCATAGATAATACAAATGAAAAATGATATTGCACTTCTAGATTCCTGCCATCATTACTAATATAAAACATAGTAATTCCCCTGGTGTTTCTTCCTTTTTCATTTCAACATCCCCAAGAGATAATTATCTCTTCCTTTATTTTATAATTTGTGAATGACTTATTACTTCTACATTGCAGACAGCTGTTTCTGATCAGGAAAGAAAAAAAATGAAACGGAAAGGGGATCGTTATTCAACTCAGACCTCTCTAATTGTGGCTGCATTAAAAAGATTGCTTCCTATTGGACTAAATATTTGTGCACCTGGTGACCAAGAATTAATTGCCCAGGCAAAAAATCGATTGAGCATGGTAGGTTTTCTCTATAAATCATTTCTATATGTAGAAGTTCACTTAATATGTTCAATAACTGTATAAATTCTCCCCCTTACGGAGGCAATACTTCTTTCTGTCTGACAGGGTTAAAAATGATGCAAGAGTCTTGTTAATGTTTATTATTTATTGATTCATAATTTATATTTCTTAACCACCTGTCTCACTTGGAGAGAGGCTCTATACAATATACAATACAGTAAATAAAATTAAACATTAAAATCAGAATAATTTTAAATTTTAAAATTATAAACAACATTATACAAATTTCAAAAGATGAAGAATTCCAAGCAGGGATTCTCATTGGGCCAGTATATATCAGAATGTAATATGATATTTGTATAGTTTAGTTCTCCTTAGAAGATAATTGGCTCCTGCTGCCATTAAAAAGAATGTTAATTATAGGGATTTGTCCATTATTCTACTCTTTTTTAAAAATATATGATAACTAGCTCCTTCAGAGATTGGTCTTTTCTTCTGGGAACACTTGGGCGACAACAGATATTATTCAACAAGAACGATATCAGAGAATAGCCTTCCGTAAATGTTATCCCGTTCTTATAAACAAGATGCAAAATGATAAAGAAACATTTTCCAAAATACAGTAAATATGAAGTTGAAGTCGCTTAGATATCGATAATACCAGATAGCTGCTAACTAAATGGAGCTGGTTGGAGAACGGAAAAATCCTTTCCTCTAGGTTACTCTTGTTATGGTTGTTACAAAAGAATATTTCACCCCAAGTAAAGATTTCTCTACTATGGAACATTCATAAGAACATTTATGATAATTTATATTATTATAATTTATAAGTTTAATACCATTTTGCATATTTATCATGGCATGCCATAATAACGAAAAATTGCAGCTTTGCAAGTTGCTTAGAATTATTTTTCTGCAAGGGCTGTTCCCTTCTTATATAATATTTTTCAGTAAAATATTTGGTATGTTTTCTTAACAGAAGGACACCGAGGATGAAGTTCGAGATATTATTCGCAACAACCTCCATTTACAGGGCAAGGTAGTTTTCTAGTATTAACAACTTTTGCTTCTGACCTAATCTTTTGAACAGCAAGATATATATGAGTGCAACTTGACACATATGTATACATCTGTTCGTGTATCCATATATGCACACCAGGTGTTGAGCCAAAAATTGTTCAGATATCTGTGAAATGTAATCAATGGTTCTAATGGTCTCATAAAGTTAAACGTGCCAAATAAGTGTAGTGATTTATTAGATTATCACAGTAATTCCAACAGTCTATATACAATTGCTTGGTTATTCATAAGTTGAGACATATTTTTAGCACCTCGTATATATTTTCTTGCAGCTTGAAGATCCTGCAATTAGATGGCAGGTGGCCCTTTACAAAGATCTACCAAACAGAACTGATATCACTTCAGATCCAGAAAAGACTGTGGAACGGGTTCTGGATATAGCTAATGTACTTTTCCATCTGGAACAGGTTAGGTGTATTAATGACATTTTAATATTAATTAGTTTTACAGATTCAATATGTACTGTGGAAATATGTCCTGATGATATACTTTTTTTTACATCGAAAGTATCTGTTTTACATTATGTTATTCCAAAAATCTATTTCACTCCATGGTAGTAGTCCTTGCTTAACAACCATTCATTAAGCTTCTTTACTCATCCTTACCAGAAAACACACCTCTCCCCATGATGAGGCAGCATAACAAGATCTGGGGGTGCACAGAAGGGAGAAACAATATAGTCATTCCATTGTTTATGCCTGGGTAAATATTCAAAGTATTAATCAGGAAATGAATGAATGTGAAATCATTAGTCTGAAGCACGCATACAAGCCACATTGGCTTTCTTATGTCAACTGAAGTGAGATATGATGACATTTAAAATAGCAGTTTATTAAAAGGCATAATGCTAAAATGACCGATGAAGTTTAATAATAAAGTTTATTAGAAGGCATAATGACAAAATGACAAAGTAGACCACAAACTACTACTTGGGATAGACAAGATCACCAGATGGATTTGGCTTACAAACAGTATTCAGTGAGTTGTCCTTAATGGTACTATAGATACATGGAGGAAAGTAAGCAGTGTAGCACCACAAGGTTCCGTCTTAGTCCCAGGACTCTTCAATATTTTCATAAATGACTTAGAAGGGGAACTCATCAACTGTGCAGATGACACTAAGCCGGCAGGAATAGCCAACACCTCAGAAGACAAGCTCAGAATCCAAAAAATTCTTGACACACTTGAACAATGTGCCCTTATCTAACAAAATGAAATTTAATGTAGAGAAAAGCAAGGATTACACTTAGGCAGGAAAAACCAAGGTACAAGTATAGATTAGGCAAAACCTGGTTCACAGTCATTGTGAGAGGGACCTTTGGATCCTAGTGGATGATCATTTGAATATGAGCCAGCAGTGTGCAGCAGCAGCTAAAAAAAAAAAAATACAGTCCTTGGTTGTATAAATAGAGGCAAAGAATCAAATTCACATGAAGTATTAATACCACTTTATAAAGCCTTAGAAAGGGCACACCTGAAATACTGCATGCAGTTTTGCTCACCACATTATAAAAAAAACAAGTTGAGACTTTGGAAAAAATGCAAAGAAGACCAACTAAGATAATTAAAGGCCTAGAGACAAAAACAAATTAAGAACGGTTGTAGGATTTTGGTTTGGCTAGTCAAGAGAAAAGAAAGACTAGGGAGGACATGATAGATGTATTTCAGTATTTGAGAGGCTGCCACATAGAGGAGGGGGGTCAACTTATTGTTCAAAGCACCAGAGAGCAAGACAAGAAATAATGGATGAAAACTAATCAAGGAGAGAAGCAATCTGGAATTAAGGAGAAACTTCCTATCAGTGAGAATAATTAACCAGTGGAACAGCTTGCCATCAGAAGTTGTGGGTGCTTCGTTATTGGAGGTTTTTAAGAAGGGACTGGAAAGTCACTTGTCTGAAGTGGTATAGTTTTCTGTGTGAGCAGAGGGTTGGACTAGAAGATCTCAAAGGTCCTTCCAGCTCTATTCTGAATGAAATTTCTGATTGACATTGTGCTCCCCAAAAAGAGGATATGTCTTCTTGAAGTTCCTTTACTCTTTTGGAGAATTCAATTTAGTATTATTAAATGCGGTATATTTAACTAAATGGGATTCTTCCATAACTAGATCAAGGTGACAAAAACAAACAAACAAACCTGTGCAACTTGAATGTGAGGGAATCTCACAAAAAAATATATTTGGGTTGGGAAAATCATCGATATTCTCTTCTGGGTGAAAACATTAATCCTCGTCTACACACAGTCACCATGTTCTTAATGTGGCTGTACTCAATTTTAAAATATTTACACTCTTTCAAGTTACATAATTTTATATATGGTTTAATACCCTTTCTTTTATCCACATATGTAAAATTAAATGCATCATTTTGATTTTTTTCTACTTCATGTATTATTTTCTTTTATTATTTCCAGAACTTCTCTAATCGTGGACGGAAATGTTTCAGAATGGGAAGTATAGAGTATATGCTCATATGTTATGTTAGGAATGTATTGGTTTTGCCTTTAATAATTTTGTTTATGCATTTTGATGTGTTAAATCTCTAAATATCTGATTTGTGATTACTATTTTTAGGTGTAATTTCTCCTAACTTGCTTGCTGCACTTTGATTTATTCTTACATTTGAAAGGTTCTGCACTTAATCTGAGGGTTTTTGTATTACACTTTTATCTCTTTCTTTGTCTCTATTATGACATTCACAATTCCTTATTTGGGTTTCGGTTATTCAGTGCACTAATCAATTTATTTTATGTCCTCACAATGTGTACTTTAAGTTCTAGCATTTGTTTCACTATAAAAAGCAATCAAATTTTCCATATATCCTTCCACGTAGGCATGCTGTAATTTTGTTCTGTGTTCAGAGTAAATATTAATTTTTTCAATTTCTACAGTTGCCCATATTAGCCAATGACATTATCTACTATGCAGTGCATAGTATGTATTTGGTATGTAATGACATTAATAATGTAAAAAATCTACTGCAAAGGAACAGAATTAGTACAATTGTTACTTTTATAGCAACATGGTTCTGCTTTATAGAATAGACAAGTGACATTATACTTGCATGGACAAAAAAGCAAAATGAAGGATGACAGCTAATTTAATACATAAATAGTAACTGTAACATAGTAATGGGCAGCCAATAACTCAATCTGTAATGCATCCTACTGATTATTATGCTGCTCACCATCTCAAGAATCCTATGTGTGAAAAAATACTTCATAATTCTCTGTATAAAAAATTATATGCTCCTCCTGGTTATTTTAGAAGACAGTCAAACTGAAGTGCTGTGAGCATAATTCAGAAATATCCAGGCTGATCTTGCAATTACTTCACTATTCTTTTAGTAAAACAGATTATTCTTCCTATTTTGGATTTTTATCCTGTTTTTTTTGTTGGCACATTCAAAATCACAGTTAAAAGCTTGGTGAAAAATAGGCGTTTTCCTCATTTTCCTAAATAGTGGAAGAGTGAAGACCAAGCATACTTCTGTGGGGTGCTCTCTGAGGTTGGTGGTTTTATTACAGACATTTCATTACAAAAGTAAGTAACATCATCAGTGGTACTTAGTACTGATGATGTTATTTGGTTTGATAATGCAAGAAAACCACCAAGTTGAGAGAGCACCAGGGACCCAAAGTTTCAATCCCGAGCTACAAATATTCTCTTGCAAATGAAGGTAAATATGTGTGTCCCAGAATAATGTTGAAGGATTCAATCTGAGTCACTCACCAGGACCAAAGATGGTTCTTGGTTGTATGTAGCTTTTAATTGTTAATTGGGATGCTGATAACTGATCAGCAAGTTGTTAATTGTCATTTCCTTGTGCCACCATGTTCTCAGCATGCCTGAGTACTTGATTTACCTGATTTATGCATAGAACCACAAAAAAGGAGGACATTTGTTTTCTAAACAAGCAATATACCTAACAACTGCAATTGGGATTATTGCTAAATTATGTAATCTTTAAATGAAACATGATTTTGTCTGACTTATGACATCAGTTCTGCTGTAATCATTTAAGCAAATCCCTTGCAGTTGTTAAGCATGCTGTTATATGACTATGATTTGCAAATTTCTGCTGGTTACCCCATTGACTTCACTTGGTGGCAACTGGGCTGCTGTGATGATTTTAAGATTGCATATTGGTCATAAGTCTACATTTTCACTATCAGAAGTGTGAGCAATCCCTGAATGAGATAGTCATTAATTGATGACTACTTCTATATAGAAACAAAAGATTTTTTCCCCAATTTCTTTCTCTACAATAAGTGATGCAGAAAATGTAGAGCAAAAGAACATTATTTTAGATATGTAGATTAATCTTTGTGGCTGTTTTTTCACATGTTTACTTTCAATTTCCAAAACCTGAATTTAAAAGCAAACTATTGCTGTGGTATCAGGTTGATTAAAACTTCACAGATGATATGCATATATCTGGAATTTAACAGTTTAATCTATGATTGTCAATAGTTTGACAAAGATTGACTACAATTTTAAAATATTGTACTCTTGGTTTGTAGCTTACACAATATTTGATTATACTCAGATGATATCAATGCTTGTTTCTCTATTATTAAAGTTACTAGATCAAAAGATAATAATTAAAATAGTTCTCGGGAGTTTATGCTGCACTTCAGCTAACTTGATTTAGTTCTAATATTTACAAAATTCCATTTTAGCAGCAAAACCCTATGCATATTAACTCAAAAGTTAAATTTTTTTATCCTGCTTTTATTATTGTTTATAAATAACTCAAGGTGATGAACATACCTAATACTCCTTCCTCTTCCTGCTTTCCCCACAACAATCCTGTGAGATGGATTGGGCTAAGTGATCATTTAATTCAGTTTAATTCCCATTAATTCACATTCAGTTGAATGGGATTTACCTTATGCCTTTAAAATAAATAAGCATCTATGAAATAATTTCTGATTTTCATTTTTTTTTTTTTTGTTCTGTAGGTTGAGCATCCTCAAAGGTCAAAAAAGGCAGTTTGGCATAAACTCTTGTCGAAACAGAGAAAAAGAGCTGTGGTGGCTTGCTTCAGAATGGCACCACTATATAATCTTCCACGGTATGTCCGATCTCTACAGAGAAGAGAAACATAACAAAATCACAGCGCAAAGCTCAGCAACATTAATAGCTTTAGAAAAAAGAAATGTCAAAAGGATGTAGCAGTGCTTTCAATTCTATCTTTAGCATGAAGATCTGTTCACTGGGACATTATTTCTTATTCATTAGCTGAGAAATATATGCTATTTCTGAATACAATGACAGATACTTTATATAGTAAATATTTTGAATATTCAACAAGTGGGCATACATTTTAAAATACATATATTTTGTTGACTTTTTTTAAGGCACCGAGCTGTCAATCTTTTTCTTCAGGGATATGAAAAGTCCTGGGTGGAAACAGAAGACCATTATTTTGAAGATACATTGATAGAAGACTTAGCAGTATGTTAGAATTGATTGAACTTTTTAAGATCAAACTGTTTGTTTGTTTTGAATTGTATTGTAGTATGCAACCTGGCCAAATTCAGCCATTACTAAACTGTAGAATTTGCTCATTATTTTGGTAATGTCAAGGTTTTTAATTTTACCCAAAAAACAAAACAAAACCAAAACTAAAAAAGTTCAATAATAGTGGGAGATATACTACAAGTTATATGTCCTGCTTCTTGTAGACTGCAAGAAGTCCTTTCGAGGCTATTTAGAATTTTACATTTCAAGATGCATAAACTGTAAATATGCTATTTTTGTTCCTTTCCAACACTGCAGCTGTTACCCTAGCCTTACATTTGCCAGTATAATTATAGAAGTCAGTTCTAACATTGATAATAATACATCATTTGAGTTTCAAAATGATATGTGTTTCTGATTTATTTTCAGCCTAATTCTGATTCGTTTTACTTTTGACAGATGTTCTGTCTTGTGTGAGCATTAATCTACAATATTGTAAAATGACTTTGTATGGCTTAATATGTATTTTGATTCAAAGTATGGTATAGCATTTTAGAAGTTATGCAAACCTATGAAAATTGAGTTAGTTTTTCCACAATGATTCAATAAATGTACATTTTGTGCACAAGTATTAAGCAAATGAGTATATTGACCACATCATCATTTTTTTGCATATTGTCCACCTCCAAGCTGTATAAACTTGAATGCTTAGTTGGCATAAGCATATCAGGTGATGTATATTTGTGTAATGAGGGAGGATGTGGTCTAAGGAGATCAACACTCTATATCAATGTGTGCATAATTATTAGGCAGCTTCTTTTCCCTAGGCAAAATGGGCTAAAAAAGAGATTTAACTGACTTGGAAAAGTCAAAAATTGTAAAAGACTTTCAGAGGGATGCAGCAGTCTTGAAATTGCTAAGATATTGGGCATGATCATAGAACCATCAAACGTTTTGTTCAGGGGTGGGATTCAACCGGTGTTACCACCAGTTTGGTGACTATGTTTTGAACTGTCAGAAATGTTTATTTTTAAATTTTGAGTTGTTTGTTTATTATTCTCTCTTTAACAGATGAAAATAAATGAGTGAGATGGGCAAATTTTCATTTTTCATTTAGTTGCCCAATAATTGTGCACACACAGATACTCTCCCATAACCTCACTTTTACTTCTTTAAATATCCAGGTTTGAGGTTTATTAATGTTTGGATTGACCAAGAGCATTGTAGTTGTTCAATAATGAAATTAATCCTCAAAAATACAGTTTGCCTAATAATTGTGCACAAAGTGTAAGTCAAATCAGTTCATATTTAAATATCTTAAGATCATATTTTCAAGCATCCCTAATGTAAATTTGTTTGGAAATAAGTTTGATGGCTCTCAGTATGATGTCCAAATATAATTATATCTCAGATCTCAAACATTTTCTTTTCATGTTCTTATTCTTCTGTTTCTTGCTGCAGAAACCTGGAGCAGAGCCAACAGAAGA